ATGTTTTGCGAAGACGTAACGAAAAATGGGCGAGATGTCCCCAATAACGAGTCTATGGTCGGCCCTAGGGACGGGCACATAAAACCGGAATGATCGCGAGCAAATCGGCCATTTTAGTGATGTCTCAACGCTTGCGCACGGTCATTTGTCATCGCAGTCGGATGGGATAACTTTTTGTACGGACCGCTGACTCCATCCCAACTTTTGTAAGGAAATCGAGCCTCATTATCGCGTCCGACACTAATGCGATCTTTACTGTTGCCACTAATCATCTCATTTGCGCATTTAAACTCGAGGGGAGTTTAAGTTACGACGAAAGGATGAAATGGGTCATCATAATCGAAAAAAACGATATCTCTTTCAAATAACTTTATTGGGTATTAGCTCAGAATCACATCACGTGTCACATAATAATAAATCTAAAATGTAGATTTAAAAAATGTTTAAATATTAACTTATTAAGAAACACGCGCATATTTTTATTCATAATAACAGTTGTTACATACATTAAAATTAATTATAGTCTATAGACGTTCACATCACAGGTGATCTTAAATTTCGATTAAAAACATAGTTTGTCGCTGATTTGTCTGTTCATGCTCCAAAAAAAATTAAGGTCACAAAAATCATAAGTATTCAAAAGATAAAACACTTGACCGAATTGACTTTAGCGAACTTTCAAAGACGCAATTTTATTGCTGATAATCTAGATTCAATCTATACGAACCACAACGGCGCCAGCCATCAAAAAATATTTTATCTCTTTATCAACTAGAAGATTGATATTAGAGATTGCTATTTTTTATCTAGATGTAATAAGTTTATTACACTACGTAATTTATTGTAAAACACTCAACAAGAGTAAATATTCTCCTGCTCTTTGTAGGTAATCGGTTGAAAATACAATCCGATTAAAACATGAATTGCATGTTAGCCTATTAGCGACATAATGATGAATGTAAAAATAACCACAGCGCACATATGCGTCCATATTATATTTATATATTGCAGATTTTGTTCGGGAATATTTAAGCCGCCTCCTGCGGCCAATAAATTTGGATAAAACAATTTCATCCGACTGGAATCGCACCCCAAACTATGCGGCTTACCTCATAAATCCTGATTACCCCTCGGCTGAAAGAATGAATCAATAGATTATCGCCAATAATGTTTATTGAACAAATATCTACGGGCATATTCTCTGAAGGAAATAGGCCTTTTGTAATTGGAGATTGCGCTCTTTCAGGAAGGTTCGGCCTACAAGGAATGTGAAGGAAGGATACAATTTGCAAAGATGCGCAAATTAGATATAATAAATACACTGGACAGTTTTCTATTTCTACTTCTTTTCTGTGTGGTTTTCTAAAAACGGAGGTCTGATACGAATTTAGTACAAATACTCGATTTTTCTAGTAAAACGGACAAGTTTGTTATTGCTGATATTGACATATTTTCCTCAAAGAGCTCCAAGATTTTTCAGTTAGTGCACTGTTACAAACAGTTTTTTAAAAAGAGCTTAGTAGTGAAAAAACAATTACTGATAAACATTTAGAAATTTGTTTTAGGCTACATTTTTTCAAGATTGATGATACGTCCAGGAAAAAATCAAAGTACAAGATGACAACAAAATATTTACCAAAAACAAATCAATCAATCAAGATTTGAGCAATTCGATTTCTGAATGTGAAATCAGAAAGACTGAGTAAGTTTCTAATTTTTCATTTCAGATAATATGGCCCAGATTTGGGCAAGAATGTTGTTATTCAATTCATTAAGTTAATGAAACCCATAATAGTCAATTATGGTAGCTATTTATTGCTCTTAAGTGCTACTTACGTGACCATTATAATTTTACGGTTCACATGCAACGTTAATACTGTCACAGACTTCGTGTGCATTAACTCAGTTATATGTTCGCCGCAATGGTTAAGCTTTGATATTGCTATTATTCAATTTCTATGCTAATGAGAATTAAAAGGAAAGTTTAATATTGCTCTTTTCTTAACATTACTGAGGTCTGATTTTTCAATCGTTGGATAACTTTTAACTGAGGAATAAGTTGGGCACATTGACAGTTTCAGTATGGGAAATATGTCAAAATGACAAGTTTATTCTTCAAATAAAAGTTAACTGACGATTGAAAAATCGGCCCTAAAAAAACTAAAAGTACTTATTTATTCTTTTACGGCAACTCGCTAAAGAGTTTGTTAAAGAGGGAAACAATATTAAAACATAACTGCTTTACGTTATGACCGTGGAATTCCCGATGCCTGAATATTTATGTTTTCCATATTTATGTGCTCGAAATTGTGGGACTCTTTCATAACAAAAGTTCCAATAACTCAGTTACAATGTCATTCGCAAATGTATGCAAAAAGGTGCGATGTTAAATGCAACATAAAATATGTGTAGGTATTATGAAAAAATGTTATGAACTTTGATAAGAAGAACACCTCATAATAATGGTTACTGACTGATGTGTCTTCCGGCTTATTAACCCACCATAAGTATTTTATTCAAGAGCCACTTCAATTTTGGTGCAAACTTGATATTATTATTTACGATACTATCTGTGCATGTAGTTTGGCAAACAGATTTGAAAATCACTTATCTACGCGATAATAACCTTTTTAATATAAACAAACACTAAATGCATTTTGTCAATTATATTGTCCTTTATTATGGTTCAAAGTAAATATTATAATACATATTACATAGTGGTTTTTACCAACCAAATTTACGATAGGAAATTAAAACATTTCCCGTTACTTTCGCGGGAATGAATCGAACAGATATTAAATTTAATGCTGTGGTTGAATGAGTACTCCAGTGCATTTCAAATGGGTCATCATCGATATTCATCACAGAGCTATTGAATCAAATAGGGCCATAATTGAACACGCCGTGGTGGCTCGGCGCTGGGCGACCGCGGAAAAACTCTGGGCGTTTTAAAGTGATGAATAACGGACGCGATACATTTTTAATGCGACAAAATTATTTTTCGCACGTAATAAATTTTCATTCTGACGCGGTAAATGGCGAATAGTTATACTCGTATGTTCACATAGACAGCTGCGTGTAAAATGCATAATCAAAGTTTTAGGAGTAATAAGAATTTTATATGCTAATATCAAGTTATGGCTGGTATTTGAAGTGCAGCGCTAACCAAATTTATATTCTAATATCATAAATCTTTGCTCCATTTTTTTAAATTATAATTTTTGTCTGCGCGTTAAACCGCAGTTTTGATAGGTATGAACACGTAGAGAGAAATTGGATCTAGAAAAAAGAGTTTACAAAAAACTTAAAAGATGAAATTTTCCTTGATAACTCCTATGAACTTCATCATTTACCTGTCCCTGTGACAGATTTCAATCTCGTGAGCGTCAGAAGTCAAGTTGGTACCTAGGTAGTTAAAATATAATGCTGAGAGATCCATGTTGTAAGTAAACTACCAAGTCTAATCATAAAGCTAAGTATACCTGCTCATTAATTTAAAGAGTATAATTACATACAACACAGTTAAGAGATAAATCTCTTATATCACCGGTTACAGTTACGGTTCATATACTTTCAGTGTTGTACAGTATCGTTCTTATGTAATCACAGTGGTAAAATGCGGTTTCTCGGTCTATTCTCAGTCTAACCTTTGAAAAAGTTGTTATTGTCGCATGCTCGTGTTTACGATACACCGTGCGTTTTTCCGAATATAACATCAATGAGGAGCAACGTCAGCCGTGGGCGCTTGGCCCGACGCCCGGATGCCACGCCTCGAGCTATAAACAACACGTAAATAAAACGGTCAAGAGCGAATTTCATTCTAGAATACGGTAATTGATACCTATCGGTAATCGACCTCTTATAGCAAAATGTAGATAACACCACGTTGGGCTGCAAAGTTTGGATACTTGGAAGGGTGCCTAATTCACATTTTCTAGTTTGGAGCCCGACTCCAAGTAGTCTTTTGTTAATATTTGTGGGTCGGGCACATTTTTAAGCTAGTATATTGAATAAAAAGATTTGTGGCCAGTTATTTACTAAACTAACTATTCTTTATAAACTTATTTGGATTGTTTATTTTCAACTAATTGTTTTGTTATTTTGGTAAGGTATTGTTATTTAAATCTTATCTACTTTGTCCTAAAATGTAGTCAGCATTCGTGTCTGGCAGTACCCTGATAACATAATGTAAAGTTATTGAGACTTTGTAAACATTAATGTATTATACCACATGTGACGTGATGACATCAAGAGCCAATGATTTATTATAGTACGCACAGGTTGAAGCCAGTTTTAAAAAAAAAAGCCGATGTATTTAAAGGACACACCTGGAAATTTTCCGGCGCTGGTGAACCTAGAGAATTGATATTGTATTATTTTTGCACGTGCGTATGTAAACAAAATGTAAAACTTATTCGGGGGTTAAGAAACAGTAGGTAGGTAGGTATTTTAACGAAAAATAATTCATTTAGAATGAATGAAACACCAATAAACGCCCGCGCATAGTTACAATAATGTTAAACTTTCATCCAACAACAACCGTCGACTGTGTTTTATAGCCAATAACGTATCATGAATTTATTCCTCGTAATTCTCGTAAACGCGACCACCTTGGCCGACAGTGCATATAGTTTTATCTTTATAAACTTGTAGGTGCACTCACTTACTTCCACGTGCAACGTCTTGGGCTTACTTACTACCGACCGCGAGCTTGAATTCTGCGTTAACCTTGGTTTTCATTAGAGTATATTCATGCTAATATTTGAACGGAAAAATTGTACAAACAGTGCAAAAAAATAAAGTTTGTATAGGTACAAGTTTTTATATAGGTAAATTATGCAAGTTTTAATTTTACATTTATCTTTATACTTTTTTACCTACGCTGAAGGTATTCGTTAAAGTTTTATTAAAGTTATTTTAAATATACATTATTATTTAATAAAGTTTTTCATAAATAAAATAGTACACCTCTTAAGAAAAGTGAATAATTTTTTACTTACCACATAGATTCACGAAAAATATTACAACAAAACCAGAAACCAGGAATTTACACATCTTCGCAACACTTAACACTTTCTTCGGCTAAAAATTCTTAAAAATCTATTACTTTTACACAAGATATAATCTAAGTTAGTTTTTTAGTTAATTACATCACTACAAACTAGTGTCTTACACTTTGCATTAAAGCAAAAACTTTTTAATTTCGTGTTCGAACACGTACACAAAGTTCTTGCAAGGAGACGTCTACTCCTCTCTACACGTTCGAATCAACTAGTTTTGAAAATGAACGAACGAACAGCACCTTTCAACGTGGTGTGGTGTTCGAGAAATTGGAGGGAAAAGGGAAAACGAACGAGTGAGTAGTAAATGAGTGAGTCGTTAATAACTGACGACAAGTCAAAGAGATTATAATATTTTATTTACTGCGAATTGAGTCCCGGACCCGAAGCTGCGGAGTAAAGACGATGACGTCGATGACGATGGATGATACTTTTGCATGATTCAAAATACGAATTAGTTCCTATATTAAGTTTTGAAAAACTATTTCAAATATCTTTTTAAATATTTTTAATTGTACATGTAACAATAAAAAATCTAAGATCTTTGATCGAAACAGCTGATTGTCAACTTGTCAGTCAAGTGTCACAACCCGGGTGCATGGTGAACTGTCACTACTGTCAGACTAAAAAAAAGCCCAAAATCAAAAACATGTTAAAATTTAATTTGTAACATAAGTTGTTGACTTATTTTGTGAAAAAAATGTTATAATAAGTGACTGGTTAAAACCTAGCAAGTGTTCGATCCATTATCCAAGGCTGCTAATAATAACATAACCTAAAATGGCTACAAAGATACTGAGGGCTCTTTTGCGTACAAAACCATCATCGGTTATGATAAAGAGATTCGAAAATACTGAAAAAACAGTGACAGTGTATGACCCTTTTGGAAATAAGCCATCGAAAGACAAAACAACGTATTTACAGGTTATAAAAATGTTCGAGGAACGAGACACAAGACGAAGAGGTCATGTCGAATTTATTTACGCCGCTATGGCTAGAATGAAGGAGTTTGGTGTACAAAAAGACCTAGAAGTTTATAAGGCTTTAATAGACGTGTTACCCAAAGGAAAATTTATTCCTACAAACATTTTCCAGGCTGAGTTCATGCATTATCCAAAACAGCAACAGTGTGCTGTCGATTTGTTAGAGCAAATGGAGGACAATGGTATGGTATAACACACCATTGCTTTTACTAAATATTTCATAATTGTTATCTAGTTTTTATGAAAATTTTCAGGAGTAATGCCAGACAGTGAGGTAGAACAAATGCTTCTAAATATATTTGGTAGGCGAGGTATTCCATTAAGAAAATTCTGGAGAATGTTATATTGGATGCCTAAATTCAGGAATCTTACCCCATGGTATCTTCCACCAGAATTGCCAAATGATACTCTGGAATTGGCAAGGTTGGCAATACAAAGAATCACTTCTGTCGACCCTGGCACAGCTGTAGATGTCTGGCAGGTGACATATTACTTATTATAATACAATATTAACATTTTTTTTTAAATAATAAAATAATATTTTTCATTAATGTTAGACAGAAGAAATAGAAGCATCGCTAGACAAGACATGGATAGTGTCTGGTCAGAGTGACAGCCAAAAGGTTTTGCTAGAGGAACAGCCACCAGATGAAGCTCTAGTCATAAAGGGTCCTTATCAAGTCTATTTAAGGGATCAAGCAGTCACCTACTTCACTCTTCTAGGAAAAATTAGAGAGGAAATAAAAGATGATACTGACCCTGATGGTAAGTGCTAACAGCTTAGAAGTAATTATAAAACAGGGTTCGAGGATATATATCAAGGGATATATATCAAGATATATATCGGATATATATCCGATATATATCAAGCCGGTTTTGATGATATATATCAACTTTTAAAATTTGATACTGTATTTGTACTTTTTGACAAAAGATTTTTATTTTTTCAGTTGATTTTGCCGTATTTCAAAGATATTTTATGTTTTTGCTTTATTTGTCTGATTTTAAGTTTTAAAAACATTAAAAACATGTTTATGTAACACATATGCAATAGTATTCATGAATAATACAATAAAATAATACTATGGCTTTCATACAAAATTGATATATATCAAAGTTGATATATATCGGATATATATCATAAATATCCGATATTTTGATATTTATAATAAATATCGGATATTTTCGAACCCTGTTATAAAATGTTTTATTGAAATATTTTATCCCAGCACAAGCAAATCGGAGACTTTGGTGCTCATTTGGTTACCTGTCTACAATGCTGTATTGCCTTCTTACACTGTAATTAATTCATGTATATTTTATTCCAGATGTTTCCAACATTGAAAAGCCTCCAGGTATACCTGGCATAGGAAGTACAAAGTTACCATCTGTCAAGTGCACTGTTCATGAGCAAGATGATGGTACCGTTGTTGCAATTTGTGCTACTGGTATGTCATTTTTGTTATTACATATTACTGATATAAGGCTTTTTGGCTCTACCTGCCTTGTATCAGTAAAATTAGACAAAGATCTAATCTTAGTTTACACTTTGAGGTAGCAAAAAAAACAATTTAGTAGGAAGAGGCAAAAAAGGAGGCTATATCTCACAAGATATTCTTTAAAAATCCATTGAGAGTCACCAATACTAATAGTGTAAACCAATGGTTAATGGGCACTTTTATTCCAGGTACTTCATCAAGGGATTCTCTATTATCATGGATTAGATTACTGGAAAAAAATGGAAACCCAGTTTTATCTAGAATACCTGTAATATTCACACTAACTGCACCTCCTTCGGATATATCAATACAAGAAACTCAGCCTCAAAAAGATGAAAGTAATGTTAGTTAACTGCTAGTGCAATGTGTATTTTATTGTGAAATGTAAATAAATGTTATAGTTAATTACATATTTTTATTTACTTTCCTAGAAAGCATAATTGAACTGCTTAGATAACTGTTATAATAATTATACTACTTTATATACAAATTCACTTATTAGACTATATTTACATGCCTATTTATACAAATAGTAACAGTTCTATAATACACAACTAGAGAACACTGAACACAGTTCATAAATCTGGTGGTAAACTCTAGAATTATGTCCATTCATAATCCTCGTCAACGTCGAAGGATATGGTGCCCCACTGTCAGGTGATGTTGTGCCAGTCGGCTTGGGGGAGCAGGTACGACTCATTGTCGCTGCGGACAACGGACACTCCTGCTCCAAAGTACGGTATGACATAGGCTGAACCATCAGATGGTCCTACAACCTGCAACAGAAATTTTGTGATTGATTTCCTCTTATATTTATATTGAACTATTAAGAATAAAGCAGGTCCTAGCTAAATATCTATGCTAACAGAATTCATATTTATTTATGAGAGTTACTGTTTTTTTCCAATTACATAACAGACCAGAAAGTGTAAAAGTAAGTTGGAATGTTTGATACAATAAATGCAAAATAACTAACCTGAGCAGCTATAAGAATAATGTCAAGAAGTTGGCCAATAAACATAAATCCCAATGTGCAGAGCTTGGCCAGCCCAACTCCTGGATAGCCGAGGTAGAACCGATCCAGGCCAAACATGCCCAAAAACACTGACAGCAACAGTGCTATCTCCAAAGAGTATCCATTTCTGTAAAAAAAAAACAACTTTTCAAAGAACTTCAACCTTAACATCTAATTGGATTCTCATAGGCAGAATACACTACTTCACTATGTATCAGATGAAATTGTAAGAGATAAATAAGTGAAAAACAAACTTACGTCCATTTGCATGGGAGTTTCTTTTTGAATGTTGAACTATTTGTCTCCTTACAAATGATTAGGTCTGCTGCTATACATTGTACTGCAAGGGAATCATCCATTAGAATTTGTGTTTCATTTTTTCATCTACTAATAACACGTTTTAAGAAAGAAATCAAGTATATACCCTCAGCTTCTCCTTCAGACGGTATCTTTTCACCCTTTGTACACCCACGGTACTGCTGCGTGTCAGGATCTATAGGGTTTATACTCGGATCTGGACAAATGTACTGTCCTAATCGCAATGTGCTGCAGTCCACAGCCTCGATTTTATCACTCTTTGCTTCATCAGAAGCATCTATACATGCCATGAGCAGTAAAAATATTTGTACAAAACAAGCAAACTCCTTACGAGACATGGCTCCAGCTTCCTAACACCTAAGATCTAACCTTATCTCATAAATGTACACATATGTTGCTTATATTTGGAATTACGTTAATGTATAAAAACAAAGCGTTATATTTTATGAATAATTTGATGAGTATTAAATTAAATTTTATAGTTCGTCTCGCTCGCTCAACACAATTTTTTTCGAAATTTTTGACAAATGACAATAATGACATTGACAATTGATGACATTTGTTGTTTTTTTTTTACTTAATTTTTTTTTATTAGTTTTACTACTTTGGACCGAGGTTTGATTGCCGTAAAGGTCATAGCACACCTATTAACTTGAAAAGGGGTCGTCACCGTATCAAGTAGACTAGAGAGGCGGTCTAGACTAGATCCATTCAGTATTATTTGTATGAAACTTCTTACTGCACCGCACCCTAATCCAGAACAGTGGTGCCAGATTAGGCGAATTATCGCCATTTAGGCTACCTCTGGGGGTCAAATGGCGACCAAAAAATGCAAACGGCTACCGGTAGCCATTTAGGCTACCTAGAAAATAAGATCGGGCTATTTAGGCTACTTCAGGATTACCTTGGAAAAATAAATCCTAACCTAGTATTCTGTAATTCAGTTAGTTTTTTAAAATGACCCCTACCCCCTTTACTACTAATTACTACTCCATGAAAGTCCAAACTCTATACTAAATCCGTAATTTTTTTCTAAGTGTCAGCTCCATACAAAATTACGTTCGAAAATTCGGTTATTTGGCTAAGTCCTGCACCCCCTTTGGATTGTATAGAATCCCTAAATAATACAAATTGCCGCTAACACATAACATTACGCACACACTTACACACAATATAAATACACGATTTAAGAAAACAACATGGCCGCAATCATGAAGCTAAAGATAAAAANGTATAATATTCATGGATTTTTGGCTTGAATTTTAATTTAAAAAAATATTTATATTTATTATCACTTGGTATTTTTCAAAAACAGAACATAAAACACGAAAATCTACAACAATAACCGGCAGTTTAAAGTTAACTTCAAATGAACATAGTCTCAACACTCAAATGATCGGCAATCTTCGGTCCATGTCGGATCCATTCGGTTTACGATACGAACTCGAGTCAGAGAGAATTCAACTCGAGTGGGTTCGAGTTACGCCCAACTCGAGTTAACTCGAGTTACTTACTCGAGTTGACCATCACTACTTTGGATAAACCCAATGCTATTGAAGTTTATTGAACAGTGAACACACATTTTTATCAACATTCATAAAATGGCTAATGACTGCTATCTTATGTCAACTGCCCTAAAGTTCTTAGCTGGGCAAAGTGGAGACATTTGCAGGTTATGTTTGGCATCCACTGCTGGGCAAACCGTGACTAATATTGGCGATAGTTTTTTACTCCAGAGGCCGTACTATGAGGGCTCAGTTAATTTCGTTGAAATGCTCCACGAACTGGGTGTAAGTAATATTTAAACTAGCTGGAGTAGTCAATTTGGCGATGCCCTTGCCTGAGTAGATACAAGTACAACACTAATCAATACTAATGTTTCAGGTAGGAGCTGATGAGGCGCTCCCAGGGAACTTCTGTAATGTCTGCGCTGATACAGTTGCCAACGCATATCTGTTCAAGCGACTCCTTAACTACTCTTCCAGCAAGTGGGCTGAAGTCATGAGCAGGCTAAGCTCTAGTCTTAACTTGGCTGAATCAGCCAGGCCAAATGGGAAATCTGTTTATCTTATCATAAATGAATATGGTAATGATATGTTCGCCAGTCGCAATACCCCAAAAGTCAAAAAGGATGTGCTGATTCAGATTCGAAAAAGTTATGCAAAAGCCAAAGAAAAAAAATCCACGAGTGTGAAGTGTACAGAATGTGATAAAAAATTCAAATCCAACAGCCTACTTTCAAAACACAATGTAAAAGTTCACAATAAAACTGAAATTTCATGTCCTTATTGTTTCAAAATGTTTGCTACACCTAGTCGGTTGGAATACCACACAGAAAAGGTTCACTGTCCAAAAAAAATTCAATGTCCGAAGTGCAATGAAATGTTAAGCACACCCAGAATGTTGAAATACCATGACCGGGCAAAACATGTGGCAGTTGTATGTAAACTGTGTGGTGTGCAGGTCCCATGTAAACAAAAATTACAAGCTCATTTAGAGAAACATAAAGCTAATAAATGTCCAAGGTGTGGAAAAAACTTTGCTACTAGTTACACATACAAGGCTCATGTAAAGGCTTGTGGAAAGGAAGGGAAAACACCAAAATTCTTTTGTGATATTTGTGAGAAGGGATATGTAAAAAAAGATGGTTTACGCTCACATTTAAAGATCGATCATGGATTTGGCAAAGTACTGAAATGCAAAGTTTGTAAAAAGAAGTTTATAAGGGCCAGTAAACTAAAGAATCATATGGTAAAGCATACGAAAGAAAAGAACTTCTGTTGCGACCAATGTGGTAGTAAGTTTGTGACACAAGCTGGCTTAGTTTACCACGTCAGACTACATACAGGTGAAAGGCCATTTGTCTGTGAATTGTGCGATGAAAGGTTTGTTTCTGCTTCTCGTCTGATGGAACATAAACACAGAAAACATTTTGGACCAACCAAGCAGTGTTCAATATGTCCCAAGAAATTTGTGAAAAGTAGTCAGTTGAAAACACATATGTATAGGCATAGCAACCCACATAGTAAGCTATATTCAGGAGCAGATATTCAGCCCGTCTTTGTGGAAACATGCAAGCTATAGAAGTGCTATTTGCTTCTCAAATGAATGTGCTTAATTTCATGAGTGTACAAGTAGCTATCGAGTTGTGAGGGGGCCAACAATACCTCGAAATGATTTCTTTAATGTTACACATGGCTGTTAAAATACCAGTTCCTTATTTTAATGTGGCTGGGCATACTACCAAATGACTAGATAGATTGTTCATGTTCAATGATCAGACGGACACACAAACATTTTAAATATAGATGTCATGAATGCTCTGATAAAGGAATCATGAATGTTTGCATTTTTTTTTTCAAACCTGGAACCTGCGCCTGGACTGGAACTAACAATGAGAAATTATATTTATTTAAACCACTTAAATTCAAGTCAAGACGAAATGTCTCCAATAAAAATACTGTTTTATTTCTATTTTCTGCAAGTAAAATTAAATATTTTTGTACTACCCGTTCGCGCTAAGTTTGCCGGTCCGAGGAATAACGAGGGAGGAATGCGCGTCCCCTCCCCAAACCGCGATTAAACGCAATTATGTAAAAGTTAGTAATTAAAGGCAATTAATGTCTCTTATTTTACGCTAAAACTCAATTTTTATCAATTAAAAAATAGTGTAATATATTATAATAATTAAAAAATATTTTAAATATAGTTTGATAAAGTTATAAACGATTCCCTTCGAGTGACGTCATATCGCGGCAAACTTAAAGCGAACGGATGGTCTATGTAGTATACAGCATAAATATACAGGGTGGAACTTTGTAAAGCCACCGAGGGAAAGTAGGTACCCACAGCCTTAGATTAATAAAACCTAAGCTTTATTAATCTAAGCCCACAGCTCAGTGTGCTGAGTAAAATGGTGTCCAGTGCATACTCTCTAATCCACATCTCTAATCTGTCTAAATCTGTGGTCCAGTGTGCAAGGCCCCGATTATAGTTCCAAAATACTGAACTGTCCTATCCATCCATGACATTGACAGTGGGGCGCCACCGTCCATACCGGATCGCTGGTTGCGATTTTTGCCATGTTGGAAACCCATGGAAACCATATAGTTGAACGATGGTAGCGCCCCCCTGTCATTGAGTTTGGTGGGACAGTTCAGCGTGGGTCATCTATACGCAAATTTTAAACGTCTCCAATACAGACGCGCTTCTTCGATTCTGCGACATGTCCTGCGATACGATTGGTCAAAACAGCTGACGACGTCTGCGGGCCTTGGTTTTGAGCATGAAGCTAAAGATAAAAATGGAGGCCAGACTTGGAACAAAAACTTGAGTCAAATACCTACTTATCTCTATCTCGCTCTCTGTGGGCCGACCTCTCTTTTTAGTGTGGACTGTAGTATTGCTATCTCCTGATTTAAATCTCCTAGTAAATTCTTCGAAATAGCCAAATCACTAACCAAATCAGAAGTTAAACAAATAAATAATTAAATATTTGAACTACGATTACCTAGTTGAATTAAAAATCACAAAATTGTCGGCCGTTTAGGTTTAATGTGTTGGCGAATCAGGGAATTACAATCCCAATTCCTGGGGAATCGGTACCATGTGGGAACATCGGCCCAATCCGGCCCATCATGGCGGTTGTTTACTATTTTGTTTATTATGCAGTTAATTTCGTTTGAGATTGTTTACAGGAAATAATCATTGTTTTATCACAAGAAATGGTGCCTGGAAGTGACATAAGATTCCACGCGTAAGTGTTTATTTCGTGATTTCCGACATTGGATCATTGTAAACATTTTTCACATTTTTTACACTTATCATTTAATGATACTTATGTCAAGAAATAAAGATTTTACATTGAGTTTCATTGAATTTGACAAATTTATATTTTTTGTTTATTCAGAAAGAGAAAGTCTGCCCACAGAGAGCGAGATAGTGATACATAGTTTGTGCTTCAAGTAGGTATTCGGAGTGTGGCCTCCATTTTTATCTATAGCTTCATGGTTTTTATAGATTTATTATCTGTGTGGCAGCCACTATCTTCAGCTGTCATCTATCACTGTCAGTGTCAAGCTGTGAAGCTGTCATCCAGTGGGNATGTTCGCCTGCCTGGACACAGAAAAATTACTGTTTCGGCGAAATACCCCACTAATACTGTCAGAAAATAAGGCATTATGTTAAATTATGTTGGTAGCTCCGCCTGTAGTTTGTGCGGTTGGTAAAGATTTGCGGGTCGTTCTCTAAAATGCATATGTGTGCGTGAGCTCAAAAAATATCTATGGAGTGCCGTCTCTTACTCTTTTATGCTCTTTGCTGTCATCCATCTGCCATGCTGTGACTGTCATTTGAAAAAAAAAAACTTACTGTGTTGTTGAAAACGGCTATTTTGTTTTGTAGCTATTTTGGATATTTGGATAAACTCAATGTTAATAAACACACTTTTTCATCAACATTCATAAAATGGCTTACGACTGCCATCATATGTCAACTGCCCTAAAGTTCTTATCTGGGCAAAGTGAAGAAATTTGCAGATTATGTTTGGCATCCACTGCTGGGCAAACCGTGGCTAATATTGGAGATAGTTTTGTGCTCCAGAGGCCGTACTATGAGGGCTCAGTTACTTTCGTTGAAATGCTCCACGAACTGGGTGTAAGTGATATAAATTTAATATTTTAACTAGCTGGAGTAGTCAATTTGGCGATGCCCTTGCCTGAGTAGATACAAGTACAACACTAATCAATACTAATGTTTCAGGTAGGAGCTGATGAGGCGCTCCCAGGGAACTTCTGTAATGTCTGCGCTGATACAGTTGCCAACGCATATCTGTTCAAGCGACTCCTTAACTACTCTTCCAGCAAGTGGGCTGAAGTCATGAGCAGGCTAAGCTCTAGTCTTAACTTGGCTGAATCAGCCAGGCCAAATGGGAAATCTGTTTATCTTATCATAAATGAATGTGGTAATGACATGTTCACCAGTCGCAATAGCCCAATAGTCAAAAAGGATGTGCTGATTCAGATTCGAAAAAGCTATTCAAAAGCCAAAAAAAAATATTCCACGAGTGTGAAGTGTACAGAATGTGATAAAAAATTCAAATCCTACAGCCAACTTTCAAAGCACAATGTTAAAGTTCACAATAAAACTAAAAATACTTGTCCACATTGCTTCAAAATATTTGCTACACCTGGTCAGTTGGAATACCATGCAGAAAGGGTTCACTATCCAAAAAAAATTAAATGTCCAAAGTGCAAGAAAATGTTTAGCACACACAGAATGTTGAAATACCATGACCGGGCAAAACATGTGGCTGTTATATGTAAACTTTGTGGTGTGCAGGTCCCATGTAAACAAAAATTACAAGCTCATTTAGAGAAACATAAAGCTAATAAATGTCCAAGGTGTGGAAAAAACTTTGCCAATATTTACACATACAGGGCTCATGCAAAGGTTTGTGGAAAGGAGGGGAATACACCAAACTTCTTTTGTGATATTTGTAATAAAGGATATGTATCAAAAAATAGTATACGCTCACATATCAAGACTGATCATGGATTTGGTGAAGTACTGAAATGCAAAGTTTGTGAAAAGAAGTTTGATGCTGTCAGTAAGCTAAAGAATCATATGGTAAAGCATACAAAGGAAAGGAACTTCCATTGTGACCAGTGTGGTAATAGGTTTGTGACACAAGCTGCCTTAGTTTACCATGTAAGACTTCATACAGGTGAAAAACCATTTCCCTGTGAATTGTGCAATGAAAGTTTTCTTTCTGCCTCTCGTAGGATGGACCATAAGCACAGAAAACATTTTGGACCAACCAAGCAGTGTTCAATATGTCCTATGAAATTCGTGACAAGTAGTCAATTGAGAATACATATGAATAGGCATAGCAACCCCCATAGCAAGTTATATTCAGGAGCAGATTTGCAGCCCATCACTGTGGAAACATTCATTCCACAATACACTATTGTCAACCTACAATAGAAGCATTGAAATAATATTAATAAATGTAGTACAAATATATCTCAATGAATAGAAGTGCTATTGCTTCAATGACATAGTATTGCTTCTCAAATTTTTTAATCAAATGGAATAAAATAATCTATTTTGAAACTATATTTTTTGTATTTTCTTTCCTCACAATCATGACGCATGCACCATGCATGCACCCATGATTATTTACATAATAGTTCAGTCATAATTTTTTGCCTTACATGGTAAAATGTTTTAATTTGTATTGATTAAGTATAGGTTGGTAATGAAAATTTAAGTTTTCCATGAAGGTAGCAGTGAAGTTTTCGACCTCAAGACACCTCAAGAGGTCAGTTGGATTGGGTCAGGTTCTTGAAAGTATCCACTAGAGACGCTTTACAACTTTTTTGTCATATTTTTACCAATATTTTTCCAGTACCTATTTTATGAATATTCCAAGTGGCAAAATCGGCAAAAATCAAAAACTCAGTTTTGGTCATTGTGAATCTGTGGCTGCCACAACGTATGAATCTATATCCAAAGCAGTAAAATTATTTAAAAAAAAGTGTCAGTGACAGATGACAGACACACAAATTGACACAAAAATATCAACAATCTGCAACAGATTTTCTGAAAGCAGAAAAATAGAAAATACGGGATGTTTTCTGATAAAAGACATATTTTTCAGATCATTTCAGGAACATCAGTGTATTGTTGTTTATGCCTAAACAATATTGCCGAAGGAAATAGCTTTTTTTCAATGGAAGACGAAGTAGCAATAAATAATGCTAATATTTACAAAATAACTGATTTAATGGCATTCGTTTTGGGTTTTGATGTATGTTAGCGATTCTTATTACATCTATAACTGAAATGATCCAATTTAACAGAATTTGTTTTTATAGTTGTATGTTTTTGCGCCCCCCTGCTGACAACAGAGGGCCCCCGCTGAAAATCAGTTTCGAGACAAGCCCTGGCGCGGTCTTGATGTATGCTGAGCGGGTGCCTTTTTGTCAGAGGGGCACAAGCAGCTATCTGTACATTAATTTGTGTATCTCCTTCATTGTGTACCTATGTTTTTCCTGCTTGTGTCTTTCTATCAAATAAAAATTATTCTATTCTATTCTATTCTATTTTTGTTCACAGTATCTACAAGACATCCCAACGAAGATTGTGTGCGGTGGTTGCTTGGAATCGAGTCTCAAATGTTTTAGTTTCATAATTAAATGTAAAGAAAATACCAAACATTTTTGCCAGCTGATAGGAAGTGTGAATAGCTGGTTAGATAGTGCCATGGATACACTAGACAATCATAAAAGTGTTTTTGTGACTGTAGATAACAAACTTTGTGTTCGTAGTTTCTATTTTGACGAAAAATTTGTATCGGATAACAAAGTGGAAGCATTAAAGAGACTGCAGGAGCCTCTCGATCAGAGAAGTGAGAAGTCTAAAGAAGAATTACTTGATAATTTCATTTTTGATGATCCTGGGTTTGAAACTAAAGCCAATATAAAGAAACGAAAAAAACTTATAATTAGAAGCAAAATTCCAATTAGCCAAATGCTAGATGGTGGAGAACACAGTGCATTGTTCAAGTGTAAAGAGTGCCATAAAGAGTATCCTACAATGTACAATCTAAAACGACATTATGTTAGAATGCATGCTCCTAAAACCATGAAATGCAATGAATGTAAGCGAACTTTTGGATCACAAGCCATTTTAAATGAACATAAGTATGAAAGCCACGCTTGTGTAATGTGCACAGAATGTGGAAAAACATACACAAACCGGAAAACATTGGCACTCCATGAGTTGAGCCACAAGCTGAGAATAGCTTGTACAACCTGTAACAAAGTATTTTGCCGAAAAAAGAACTATCGAATGCACATTTTATCCAAGACATGTGGACAGAAACAGAGAAACAAAACAAAAAATATGTACATTTGTGACTACTGCAGCAAAACATATGCCTGTAAACCTACATTACGTGTTCATATTCAATTTGAGCATTGTGGTGGGCAGCAGCACATCTGTACTTGGTGTTCAAAGAAGTTCAGCGCATTGAGCAAACTGAAGGCTCATTGTTTGACTCATACTCAAGAAAAGAATTTCAGCTGTGATATTTGTGGTGGGAAATTTGTTAGTAAGGAGTCATTATTGTATCACACTCGTATACATACTGGAGATAAGCCATTTCAGTGCGATCATTGTGATCAACGGTTTTTATCGTCTTCTCGTCGAGCCGAGCACATTCGGCGTCATCACACAGAACCACGGCTGGAGTGCGACATATGCCGCCACAAATTTAAGACGCGATCCTGTCTGATGCGCCATAAGAAACGCCATTATGATCCTACAAGTAGATTGCATTATACTCGAGTTACTCAAAATGAAGATTTGTAATTACTCCATATTATTATGTCATTCATGATTTATGCCAACATTATGCATGCAAATAGATATGCTTAATATTTTAATAGTGTAAAAATTACATCCTGTAAAAGTAATTTACTAAGTTATTGTAAATGTAAATAAAACACAGTGATGAGTTTAGTCTTATAGTATTTTTTAATTTTGAGCCAGATTTACCAATACCACTCAGAATTAACACCAAGGAACTTTTTGTTTGCTATCATTTTACCTAAAACTTTCCTAAACACTTCACTGGCATCAGTAAACACTTGTCCGAGGTCCAATGGGAATTCCGAAATTGTATCTGGTAAAATGAGTTTCATATTAATATTTTTTGCAAATATTAAATAAACAAACAAACTCACAGAATTCGAATGTGATATACTTGTTCTGCTTGAATTTCTGCTCTCACTTACTGTGAAGACACACTGAAACCAATTAAATAATATTAAAATAAACATACAAATCTGTTGGTAAAAACAATGACAAAAACAACTAATTTTTTTTACCATTATAATAACGCATTGTAACAATGCATGCAAGAGTGTAATAGTCCGCATCTTAAATAAATTTTGTCCAAGATTTTTTAGTAATCAGAAGAAGCCTCAGAGTCCAATAGGGTGAAATAAAATAAAAGGTTATTTTTTACACTAAAATCATGCTAAAATCATTCAAAATATCGCGCCATTTGTACCATAAACAATTTTCGTTTTTTTCTGTAGTGATGTACATTGACATAGCTCATCATATTATGAGCTACCTATTTACATTATAAAAAGATTACATCAAATTCAATTCACTCAAGCATTATTAATATTAAATTAGTATTTAAATCGTAGCCAATTATATTATTTAATAAGTTTCAATAAATTGGTACTTGGTGCAGTGCAACAAGTGGTTTTTTGATTTCAAATTACTTTAGCGGTGGCCTTAATCCTATCTATGGTGTAGTTGGTTTTGTTGTCTATGGTTGGTTCATCAGTGATTGGTCAACATTTCTGAAGGCATCTCTTTCTTTTCGTCAGCAGGCAAAATGGCCGAAAATCGTGGGAGTATGACAGACGTCTCGGAGATTAAGAGTAATTTTGTGTGTCCGACATTGTAAATAAACATTTTAGTGCACGCGTCGCGTTCTGTGTAGTGCTCAGTGTTAGTGCATGCTGTGTTGAATAAAGTGCAGACCCTGTGATCATAGTTCTAACTAAAAAGGTGTTTGTGTTTTGTGCCTTGTTTTCACTAATAACTTCGCCCTGTCATCTGTTTTGGATTTATGTTTACTTGATCACGGTAAGTACATGGTCCTGTAACTGTTGTTCGTAATTTGCGTGCACTTTACAAGTTTCTTGTTGGCGTGTAAATAATCCCAACTTTGTAGTTTTGACAAATTTTTTGTCCTTTTTTGATTTTTATGTTTTTTGTAGGCGCGAGCGAGATAGGTTACGTTTGGTAAAGTTGTCACTCCCTGTCGACAATGGAAAGTATGCTTCGTATTATTGTTTTGGTGGCAATTGGTGACCTATTACGAAATGTTTGAACCCAGTTCTTGAGGTCATGTTGGAAGTCTGACAGACTGTCGAAGTCATATTATTTGTATCTAATCTTCACGATGACTTAAAAGCGTAGGCTGCGAGCTAAAAGGACAACTGTGACATCATTTTTGCGTATTTTAAGCATAAATCTGTTATTGTGGACGATTCCGTATGAGTTGGCGACCAGTACATCTTGAGAATTAACAAATAATAGCTATAGCAACTGCGAGTTGATAACTTTGATGATGACTTATGTTTGTTCTGTGATTGAGGTGTATGACTTGGTTGTAGCTGAAAGTGTCAATCATGACCCTGTATCATTGTAGCTTGTCAGATTTTCAAATGATTTTCAACATAAATAATAAGTTAAAAAACATTTTTGAAGAATCTGAATGTTTGTGATCTCTGGGGGTCTTCAAATGGACTACAACAACTTGGCCATTGGTGAATCAGTGATTCACTTAGTTTTTTTTATCAATAAGTACTACAATAATAAATAAACACACTGATAAGGTACAGAAACTATGTTTAAATATGGTTTAGTGTCATTGCTTTGTTTGTTCACAAATTCTTTTGCTATCTTCGGTCTATAATTTAGGTGTACCCTGAAACTACCAGAGTTAATTATTGTATTAGAATACTGCATGTATTGTCTGTCATCAAAAAAGGGGCAGGATTTTTTTATCTTGAAACTGAGACAAAATAAGTTAGACGCTTGAAAGACCTCATTTTATAAGTTAATATTTAAATATATAATAATTATTTTAGTATGTACACTGTGTACACACAAACCAATGTATTGTTTTATTTCTTTATTCCAACAAGTGATAACAGCTACTATCTAAAACTTGAGCAGGGATTGTTTGAGCTATAAATAATGATAATGTAAAATATAGACTTGAGTCAGCCTATTTTAGAGACTTATCTGTTTTCACCATCAATAGCTAATTTTTATGTGATCCCAATGCAATGGTAACACCTATGAGGAGTTTTGTTTCCATAGGGGTCACTTAAAAATTAGGGATTAATGGGCATTAGTGTCAGGTACAAAATGTTTTAAGTTATCACACCCCTTATAACTTGCATGGGAACCAGGACGTTGGTTTCAGATTGGACAGGAATTGTAATGGAGACCAGAGCCCCGATTACGGTAATTTTTAACGTCAACAATCCAGACACGCTTCTCGATTCTGCGATACGATTGGTCGTTCAACAGCGTACGTCAGCTGTTTTGACCAATCGTATCGCAGAATCAGAAACGCGTCTGGATCGTAGACGTTATTAAAAGTTACCGTAATCGGGGCTCTGGCCTTACAGAACCTACACAGGACACTTGGTAATGCTGGCCACAACCTTCATGGACCTGTCTGTTTCATTCCCTCACATCAATCCCATTCTATTTGTTAATGAATGAAATTGTGCGTACCTAACTTAACACTTTTGGTACCTATTTCAATTAATCCAATTTTCACACTAGAGTCACCATATTTTGTAACAAAAAATAGATTAACTGATGTAGAGGTGATAGCACATCAGGCTATTCATGTCTATTTCAACAACTTTCCTGCAGTCTTTTAGTCGGCTGATAATTCGGTCACCCCAACTTCTATGAAGAATCGAATAGTCTACATAATTATAAATAATATCCTTCCATTTTTCACACAGCGTCATGTTGTCCCAAACAAAAAAGCAATACATGGTGGTTTTTTATGCAGAACAAAGCAGGTATTTGACCGCGATAGCAAATCTGTGTAATGTGAGCACTACCACACATCTTCATAACATCATACTAATTACAGCCCGATCCAACTATCGGCCTTCTAAAAGTCTAGATTGCGGGGTGTCTAATAGGTACCACGACATACGATGTCACAGTGTATAACTTGACGTACATTCGACAGTTAATACGTGTGCAGATCACAAGTAATCAGCTACAGATCGTTTGCGTTTCATCCACGAAGACGCGCCTCACTAATTTTTAGTCGAGGGAAAAGTTTGATCCGAGCAATCCGAGCGTCATGATTGTAGTGTGCGTGTGCAGTCATGGATAATTTAGCGTGTACCGATAACACTCAAACATTAACGGAAGAATGGTGGGGCGCGTCTTTGTGGATGAAACGATCTATAACAGAATGGCTAGTAAATTCTAAGTCGTACGTTTCGCGTGTCGACCGAACTGGTGACCTACTTAGCCCGCTCTATTCAAATTGGTCACGAAGTACTAAATACTTGGGCCACACACACAGTGTTGCCAACAGCTACCAAAGGCTCGTAGCTAGGAATTTAACAGAAAGTAGCTAGATTGAGTATTTTTTTCTCCCTAAAAAGTAGCTAGAAGTAGCTGAATTCAGAAGTATGTAAATAAAATACTAAAGAAATAAACACTGCAGTTAATAAATCAGCTATAAACTTTAATCAACTTAACTTTAATACTGTGACTACTTAATTAACAAATAAAAGAAGACAATATTTTGATTATCTACCGAATATTATAATTATCTAATATCCCATTTTGTCAACTAGGTACGGCTTTAGGAAAAACGTAATTGTGACAGCACTGGCCGCTTTTCCTGAGCGAATCTTTTATGCATAAAATAGAATTCAGAGTTATTAAACTCATTCTATTCCTCTGTTTATTTTTTATTAATTCATTTGGGAGAACAATCTTTCTACCTCAGCATTTGAATGCGGAAGTGAAAGACATACTATAGCGAGTTACAAATACTTTGTAAAAATTTATCATAATCAATAGTAATTGCTAGAAAAAGTAGCTAAAAAATTTAGCTACAAGTAAAAAAAAATTGTAGCTGCCTGACATCAAAAAGTTGCTAAATCTAGCTATAAAGTAGCTAAGTTGGCAACACTGCACACACAGTTCGATCGCAAAAAATAACAAGCTTGCGAATGTTATTAGTTAAGGGGGTGCAGCGCCGACGAAAAATTACGATTTGCTAGCCGAGATAGCGGTGGCGCAACGAACTAACACGATCGCACACGAACTACTTTACAGAGTAGAGACAAAAGAGACTCAATACAGAGTAAAAACACGCATTTCACTAATTTTGNCGTCTTTCGGCTGAAACCAACGAACGAACGAACGTGCTTAGTGCGAGTCTGCATTTACCGTTGTCGCTAACGAGTGCATCAAAAAGATATATAAAGTTTAAGATTTTAGTTCTTGAAAGTATCTGCTAGGGACGCTGTACAATCATCATACATTTAATGCATGTCATTGTCACCATCGATATAAAGTCGCACTAAGCCCACTGATTACGAATAGATCCAGAAAAACACTTGTAGTGACAGCGGTTAGTACTACGGTCTCATTGTTTTTTTTACAGAAGTACCTAGTCTAATTATTGTTACTTTCTACATAATTTAGCAAAATCGACTTTGTTAAAAAAAACTTGTTAATTTTCTTAATTTCCTCATTTATTCTGCATTTTAGTATTCACACATGCAGACCGGAAGCATTGTTAGTTTTATTTTTTTAGACGGTGTAGAATAAAATTTAATGTCATTATCATCATAGAACATATAATTTTTGAGGGTCCGTAGTCCTGATAAGGAATCCTTATAGTTTGATTTGATTTTGATTAAAGTTTAAAGTGCCAATTTTTGTTCGAGCAGGGCGTCCCCACCCTCTAAAAACTAGACTGTTGGCTTGAAAAATCTGAAAAAAATCATAATAATACTGATTTTTATGAACTTTCAAGAAAACTCATGTATTATAAAATTTCATATGTAATAAAAAATCCTTAGAAGAAAATATTAAAAGCTACTTTAGATGAAGTAATTGATTGCTTCTGAAATATATTTTGTTAACGACGGACAACTACGGAACCCTACACTGCGCGTGCCACGACACGCATTTGGCCAATTTTTTTACCTAAGATTTAACCCAGTTTTCTGGCAAACTATATTTCTCTATTTCTTGCGGAAAAAATTACGTGATATTTCCTGAGACCCCCCCTCTCCCCCACGTGAGATTTAGTGAGGTTTTTGTTGACCCCCTCCCCCCCCTAAAAGTCTCACGTAATTTATGGACGCCCCCTTATTGTTGTGAGTTATGTCCGTTTGAGATTGAGATTTACGAGTAGGTAATGCTTCACTCAAACGTGTCCCGAATAGCGCTCAACCAATCTTCGTGATATTCTGTGGTGGTTCGTATTTGGGATTTCTATCCCATCCCATTATAATTTTATGAAAACTCAGAAAATTACAGCTCGATGCCCTATCTTTACCCATACGGTAACACTTAAAAAAAATACGCGCTCTGAATACCCCAAAACAACTGCATTTCATATTGGTGTAGTAATCGAGTGTAAAGTGTTTACTATGTTGATGCACTGCACTACACATGACGTGAAATTAGGGTTGTCATCTACTAAATTGTCGCAGTCAGGCCGCGGTCGAAGAAATTCGGACTTTAATTTCAGAATAGTCGCAAATACCTGTTAAAAATAGGTATTTTTTGTAATCATGGAATGATTTTCGAAGCCCTCTGAACTTCCTAAAATGTATCCATCGTGAAAAGCCATTCAAACTAGGATAAATCCGGAAAAACTAGAACATATGGCAACCCTACGCATGACGTGAGTTGCGTAACCAGGCCGTCTTGTCTACGATGCATCTAATTGTAGGAATGCATGCGGTTTCACTTCCCCTGATAATTTAATGATTTATAACTCAACTGTTCATGATTTTTGTACAATCTTTCAAGAAGAGAGCGTATGTACTTACCTTAAAGGCCGGCAA